GCGTCCCCCGGCGCCGGGAGGAAGCAGCGGGTGCCGCGCCTGCCTGCCAGCCCCGTGCGGAGGGCAGGGCGCCCGGCGGCTGCTCGCCCTCCGCGCCCGTCCTACTGCCCCGCGCGCGGGGGCCTCGGGGGCCCGGAGCGCCGGCCTCGGGCCTGACCGCGGGCGCGACAAGGAAGTCCCTCCAGGAAGAGCCCAACTTGAATGGGTGTTTTCTTTGCCTGTGCAGGCAGCTGGGCGATGCGAAGGTGGGGTGGGAGGAACCTGTCTAAAAATAGAGGCGTGTGGAAACCGGTCTAGTGCGTGTTATTGGTAAAAATTGACCCGGAATAAGGTGAGACTGCAATTGACCCGCAGCGAGCACTCTTCCCCTACAGCGGGGTCTACAGCCATTAAAAGTATGGTCTCTGGTCCCCATCCGAAGTTAAAACGTCACAGCTCTTACCCTAAGTGGGGCCTTTCAAACCGACTTCAGGGCACTCTTCAAAAATTTTGTTTCACCCAGAAGACTTGTTGATCCAACTGTGTTTAAATCGTTTGCTTAATACAATTAGGAGGAGAGGTTAGTAAAGAGATAAATACGTATTCCTTTAACCTCTGACGGAAGTGAAAATGATTCAGAAAACTTTAAAAAGGAGGAACTGGCTAGCCAACCTTTTGAGGAAGTGTGCATCTTGGAGATATTTAAGGTTTGTTTTCCTGCATTAGGCCCTCCTCTTTATCAGCTATGGGGGTAATGAGAGTGAAAAAATGGAGCCCAAAGTCGCATGTGACCACAGGGTCATTTGCTAGAGTGGAGGAATCACCCCCTAAATATGACAGCTAAGGCTGCCTCGTACAGCTGGTTGATCATCTCTGTTTAGGTCAGGAGGAAACAAACTCCTAGTGCAGGCCTATGCTAAACATGTTATTTCAATCAACTGCAATTTCGGGGATGCGATGGGAGTTGCTGTTTTTAATCCTCGTTTTAGAGAAAATTGAGGCTTAGAAGATTTTTCAAAGATCAGAGAGAGAGAGAGAGAGAGAGAGAGAGAGAGAGAGAGACTCTGACATGCAGACCCAAGTATGTCTGTCACCAACGTCAGAACCTTTAACCGTAGGCATTTTCAATATCCCACTGCCCCTTGTGTTCTGCTTTTCCTGCTGGGTATTTTGCATTGTGAATTCAACCCTAGGAAAGTGTTACCTGCTGTATTCCCATTGTTTTTACCGTCCACTTGTCTCCCAATTAAGTAACCTTCTAAAGAAGTTTGGGTTATCAAAACACACTAGCGCAGATTCATTCCAACTAACCAGGCTCATCTATATAAACTGATTTGATAATTAATGTTTTAATCAATTAATTGCAACCCCAGTAAATGGTAAACCACAGCAACCCTCCCTTTTTCCCTTTCATGATTACTTTTTCTTGTTGGTATCACCATATAACTCTTAAAAAAATATTTTTTTATTTTGCTTTTTGACTGTCAACCTCATTTGTTCCTTACTCTCCATAGGCAATTCATTTGCAGATACTACCAGAGCTACCTTTAAAGTGTGTCTCAAACTGACTCCTTCTCACCCCCTTCATTGCTGTATTTCTAGTCCAACTGAATATTTGACAAGTGATGGTGCCATTAACTAAGAAGAGGAAGTCTAGGGAGAGCACAGCTTCAGAGGTTCAATCAAGAATTCTCTTAAGTTTGATATCCTACGAGACATTCAAATGGACGTGTTGAGTAGTTAATTGTGTCTATGAATGGATCCCCAATCCAGGACTACAGTCCTCAGCATATAAGATTGGTGATATTTAAAGTCCTGGGACGATATATGCTCACCAAGGAGTGATGAGCAATGGGGACCAAGCCCTGGGCACTCTTCCATTTAGAGCATGTGAAGAGGAGGAGGCGCCAAAGAGGAGCCTGACAAGGGGCGACCAATGAGCTAGGAAGAAAACCAGGGGAGTGTGTTACTTGCCAGTGTTCCAGGAAGGAGGAAGGCATTAATTGGCCCAGTGCTGCTGGGAAATCCCCTGAGTTGAGCACTGAGCAATCCTTTGATCAGATGGAGATTTGTTAGTTCCATTCACAAGAGCTGTTTTCGTGGAATGCTGAGGATGAAAGCCTGATTGGGGTGGGTCATGGGAGAAGAGAAGGAGATGGAGTATGAGTAACTCTTTGGTGATGTTTTACTATAAAAGGGAGCAGAGCTATGGATCTGTAACTGAGAGGAGATTTCGGTCACGGAAGTTTGTGTATGTTTATTTTAAGATTAGAGATACTATAGAGCATGTTTGCTGACAGGAATGGTCCAGAAGAGAGGGACATTTTGGTGACACAGGTAATATGAACAGTGTGTTAAGGCACAAAATCTTTGCCTGAGCAGGTGAAAGGGGACAGGATAGAGAGTCCAAAAGGAGCAGAAATTGGAGGAGCAAGGACAGATGCTGGGAGTTTGGTACATTTAGAGGTTGGAGGAGGCGATTGTTTCCAATCCTGGGAATTAGGTAGGGCGTGAGTCATTACTTCATTTCACAGATGATAAAACTAAGATTCAGTTAAGTGATTTGCTTGGGCCTCACAAATAAGTAGCCGAGTTAAGACTTAACCCAAGTCTCCTGCCTCCAAGTCTTGGGCTGTTGACATTATACAAGAGTTTCTGTAGTGATCCTTTACTTTTAGTGGAGCTGAAATTGATTTGGACTTAATTAGTGGCACTTGGAGACCAGAGCCTGGAATTCTAGTTCCTGTTCAGTCACCAGGCTCTGCGTCACGTTCAACATCTCTAAGCTGGGGGTTACCTTGTTTCCAAGATGGAAACACTGATAACTGCCAGCCAGGTGCATTAGAAGAATCAAATGAAAGAATATACATGTAAGTGCTTTGTAAATGGAAAAGTGCTTTCTATACAAATGTGCATGATGATTCATATGGTTGTAGCTCAGGCTAAACAGATTCAGAAATTTGCTAGGCAGAGCTATTTTGAAACATATGGCAAAGACCAGAATTTAAGCTTTTCCTTGCTTATGTAACGTGGCAGAGTAGCTAATGTTAAACATCAGAGAATTTGGTGTTAAAGTATCTCTGTACTTGTAGTAATAGTGAGAATCACACCACTTCAAAAATGTGTGGAAATTGCTTAGAGGACGCCAGTCTGTCAACACAGATGGGGGTGGAAGATGATGAGAAGAGCTCTTAATGAATGTTCAGGTCTAAACTCAGTCTTCTATTTCGTCATCGTCATCAGACTCATTGTACTTCTGCAGGACACTGGATACAAAGGACTTTCTTATTATAATACTACATATAGTTTACACATGGAATGTAAATCGATTACATTGACCTACATCTTATATTTTAAAAATTGCTTTCTGGTGGTGGGAATCTTGTTTAGAATATAGTATGAGTAAGCAACCACATATAAGATACTGTAATCTGAAGTTCATTCCATTTAAGAGCTTTTCATTGCTTTGTGTATTTATACTTTAAATTGCTGATTTATATTACGGTGGTATCACTGAATTAACAGATTATTCATGCCTTTGTGTATGATGGAGTTTAAGGAGCTACTTAGTTTATTTTAAGAGCCTCTTTTCCTTTCATAAATATTACTTGACTTCCAAGTACAGCTAAGTGTTGCAAAATTAATGACAATTTTCTATGTAGAATTGATTTATTATCAACATTTTTTTTAAAGTTATGTAAAGTATTCTAAAGTAAGTTTTGTCATAGAATCACTGTGTAACCTCTGGTAAAATGTATATCTTGAATTCATTTTGAGTTCTATTTCAGAAGGGTATTAATCTATAATATTTAGCCTCTGTGGGCTTTTGGTGAATAATAGTTTTTTATTTAGTAAAACACCTTAGGACAAATGTTATTGGGTTCAAATCAGGAAGATGGAATGCCAACCAATGTTGCTAGTAAGCATTATTAAAAGGACATTTATAATATTTTCAGTAATCTGGGCAGTTGATACTTTTTAGGCTTTCTTTATGGATGTTCATTATTTTAGATTTGCTCTGGAAATTTCTCAGTGAAATTATCTCATTTCAACATGTGAAAGGAATTTCACTTTTTGTTTTAGGGTAGTGATTCCACTGAAGCAACTGCCAAACCAAAGAGAAGTTTTTATGCTGCGAGGGATTTGTACAAATACCGACATCAGTACCCAGTAAGAGTATGGAATGTCTTTTTGCTAAAATGTTTTCCTTGTTTCGTGGCGCCAATGAGCTAACATGCAAGAAGGGTCTTTGTACTTTTTCTATATGTCCATATGCTGGAGATTGATTTATTTTTTCCTTTAGCAGAACTTCAAAGATATCCGATGTCCAAATGACTTGAGCAATCTTCGTTTTTATAAGAATAAAATTCCATTTAAGCCAGATGGTGAGTAATCTGCTACCTGGGTAAAAAGAAAACTCTTAATAATAAGTACACCTATTATCCTTTGTTTATTGCATGGTCGGTACATTCCCAGTACATTTGTTCATTGCCTGGATTTACTTTGCTATATAGTCTAATGTGTCCCCAAAGGCCTCTAGAGCTGTGAGCAGCCACTTGGCAAATTTTGGAGGAATAACTGCAGATTAGAGATACCTCCCCACCACCTGTTTATGGTGTCTGTTACCTGAAGGGAAGTAGGGACCATTTTTTGTGAGGGGATAGAAGAGAAGATTTATAGGACCATAGACTACTAGATTATTAAGGAACATGAGAGGAGATCAAATTCAGCCTTCTTATTTGAAATATAAGGTCACTGGGTCTAAGATCTTGAATGACTGACTTGTTGGGTCACTTGATTATAGAGTTGGGTCTAGTTTCCAGAGTTTAGTGTTCTTTCCACCATGTCATAACTGAAAATTATTTAGAATAGAATTGAAAAGTGATGTTTATCTTAGAATTATCTTTTTGGTGATTTTCAGATTCAGGAGTCAGGGCCCAACACCCTGAGAGGGAAATCACACATACAGTAGATCTCCACTCAGCTCTGCCAAGTAGACTTGCGTCTCCCTGCACAACTCCACAATTACCCCCTTCAGATCTTTTCTAACCCTATAGTGAGAGGATGTAGCTGCTATGGTAATACGCATATTTCACTGAGACACCATGCTGTGGTCCACGGTGGACTCCTAATTTTTTTTTTTTATTGTTAGTTTCAGGTGTACAGCACAATGCAATAGTTACCCTTTTCACCCTCACAAAGTAACAACCCCCATCCCCCCATCCACTGCCCTCCCACACCCGATATTATGCTTATCTATTACAATTCCATTGAATCCGTTCCCGCACTCTACTCCGTGTCCCGAGGTTATATGTATATATAATTATAGTTGACATACAGTATTATTCAACATCAGTTTCAGAAATACAATGCGGTGGTCAGGCCTCTACATCGACTATGAAGTGGACTCCCAAAAAGGGCATTGGTCCATCTGGCCCCCTAAGAAATGCTTACAACGTTATTGATTGTATTCCTCGGACTATCTTTTTCTATCCCTGAGGCCATATTGCAATTACCAATTTGTATTGTCTCATCCCTTCCCCTCTCCTTCATCCCCACCCCGTCCCAACTAACAACCCTCAGTTCTTCCTCTGTGTCTCTGAGACTATCTCCATCCACTACTCCCATCCATTCAGTTCCTTAGAATCCACGTATAAGTGAGATCATATGATATTTGTCTTTCTCTGACTGACTTATTTCACTTAGCATAATGTTCTCTAGTTCCATCCATATTGTTGCAAAGGGTACTATTTCCTTCTTCTTTATAGCTGAATAATACTCCATTGTGTAAATGTACCAAAGTTTCTTAATCCAGTCATCTACCGATGGGCATTTTGGTTGTTTCCAAGTCTTAGCTATTGTGAATAACGGGTGGACTCCTAATTTTATCCAGGTCAAACCGGCAAAGCTGGCTTCTCTCCCTAGAGACCTTATCTCTGTGAGGTGACCAGATGGCCCTGGCTCCTGCCCTTTGTTCTCTGTGCAAACTGAGCCATAACCACAGCAATGTGAGTCAGGGAACCATGCGGCTCATGGATTGCAAAACTTTCTGTGTGGCAGGACCTTGCCTTCCATGATGAACTAACTGGAGGAAGTAAATCTATAGTCTAGGTGAAGTGTTTAGAGGAGGAATTCCCCATACTGTGCACTGAGAGACATACCAGTTGGGAGTTACGACTTAAGAACATGGCTGAAATGACCAGATCCCCTTGTCTTTCAGTAATTTTCCGGTGTCCCAAGTGTCTGCTCTGATTTGGAAGGATAAAATATGCTCTGTTGTATTTACTAACGATAGAAACACACTGCTTTATTTATTGAAATAATATTAATTATTAGTTGGTTTCTTTTTTAGCACTTGGTATGAAAACTTTTTGAAGAAATACAATGATAAAGTGTTAATTTGACTCTGATTTGAATTTAATAACATTTACCTAAAGGAATGTCTTCAAATATTGAAAACATTGTACATAGAGATATGACAGTATTTAACTAAATTATTTTTCTCTAATAGTGAATTTATTTTTGAGGTAGTAATTTAAAGGAGTAACACTAAATAATACATTAGATTTTTTGTAGTTTTTGTCACAAAATTTATTTTTAAATCTTATAAAATAGGTGGAAGTCAGAAGTTTTAGCTAAGGTCACATGAGATGTTATTCTACTTTAGTATATAAGTTACATCAACTCACACACTTTCCTACCTAGTATGTGTGCATGTGCGTGTGCATGTAGACACACACACACACACACACACACACACACACACACACACACACGCTTTCCAGTAAGCATAAGCTTGCAATGATGTATTTTACTTATTAAATAGGAGGATGGGAAGTTGGAAAAAAAAAAAAAGGAAACTATGGAGGTAAATGGTTTCAACATGCTGATAAAGCCAACAAGAATATGATTCAGAACCTTTTTACCAAACCTTTTGAGAGTGGACCTTCACTATGAACTGGTGACCTCTGGAGGGAACAAAAATGAGATGAGTTAGCTTTAGAGGTGGCTATATTGTGTTTTTCTCTATAAAATTGACTAAATGGTCACATAATCAATTGAGAGGACCTAGACAGACTGAAGGAGGATTTTGTTTTAATAAGTTCTTATAGGGAACAGTGGGAGGTGATGAAGAGGGCTTACTTTTTGGAACCTAGATTTATTTTATTAGTGTGGGACTTTCAACAATCACACAACTTCCTTATTAGTAAATTGGAGATAATAACACTGGTTTGGGAGAGTTCTGTGAAGATAAGGTAGATGATGCATACCATGTATAATATGGGCCCAACATATAATAGGCACTCAACACATTTTTCTTTCATTTTTAAAAATTTTTCCCTTTCCTTTTTTCATACTTCTCCCCTCCTCTTTCTCTTCCCCCCTCCTTTCTTTCCTTTCTTCTTCCCTGGGATTCATTTCAATTTGACCCTATCTAATGTAGTATTTAAAGAACTATATGACCCTTTAAGGCAAGGGCTGGTAAAACTTTTTCTGTACAGGGCCAGAGAGTAAATATTTTTGGCTTTGTGGGCTATATGGTCTCTGTTGTAACTACTAATTTCTGCTAATGTTTCAGTGTAAAATATGTAAATGAATTCTATGTATTCACTTGTTCATGGCTGTGTTCCGGTAAAAGTTCATTTACAAACAGATGTCAGATCATAATTTGCCAACCTCTGCTTTAGAATAATGCTGCTCAGTAGAACTTTCTGCAGTTTGAGGTGTCACTGTTTTCTAAATTTTTTTTTAATTCGGCTTATTATATAACTCAGTATATGGCATAAGGAATTCATCTTTTTAAAAGCATTGTTCTTGTGTTGTTCTTAAACTTTTTAATATAAAGCTTAAGTGATTAAATCTTAAAATGCCTTCAATAATGTTTTACATGTCTGATTCACTTTTAAAATATTTACTATTTAGGTGTTTACATTGAAGAAGTTCTAAATAAGTGGAAAGGAGATTATGAAAAGCTGGAGCACAACCACACTTACATTCAATGGTCAGTTCCATACTATCTACCTTGAACCATGTTCTTTTTAATCACGTATGCTTTCCAGACAACATTAATATAAACATATTATTTTTCTAAAAAAACTAGGCTTTTCCCCCTGAGAGAACAAGGCTTGAACTTTTATGCTAAAGAACTAACCACATATGAAATTGAGGTAATGCAAGCTCATTTCATTTTATATGAAATAGCCAAATAATACTGCTGGTTTATTGGCCTGGTAACTACCAAATCATTTCAGCTGACTTTTTTTTCTGTTTGTTAGGAATTCAAAAAAACGAAAGAAGCAATTAGAAGATTCCTCCTGGCTTATAAAATGATGTTAGAATTTTTTGGAATAAAACTGACGGATAAAACTGGAAATGTTGCTCGGGCTGCTAACTGGCAGGAAAGGTTTCAGCATCTGAATGAGTAAGTCAAGACCCTACAGTCCATAAAGGGAGTGTGTGTGGGGGGGGTGTTACTTTCCTTGGTTGGGATTCTTTGTGGAACTTAGGAACAACTAGCAGTTGGACCTAGGCATGTAAAAGCAGAAGCTAGTCTGAAATGCGTTTTATCCCTGTTTTACATTCTAAAACAAAGCAAAACAGCAACAAATGAAGAACAAAATACTAGGTAGAAATATGGCTATTCAGCTTCAGAGCTTTTTCTTCCTGTAGCCTCGCCACTACCTGCAGCCAAGTGTGGCGTCTCCCCCCTTTCTGCCATGTCTTTGGGCATTTATGATTATTGTTTGTATACAGTTTTCCCAATCCCCTCTACTAGGCTGTAATCTTGTTGTGGTACAGCCTGTTCCTCAGGCATGGTGCCACCTTAGATTAAATCCATGAATTAAACCTAGAACATATAAAAATCATTTTATAAGACTGAGTTATTCTCGTATATTTTACTAAAAAAGAGGAAAAAAGTGGAATCTTTGCTATTTAGGTCAAAACAAAAGGCCATGTTTGGTTAATAAATCTCAAAACCTGTGAAGAAAACTTTAACAGTTTATTTGGAATTGATTTTTTGTATTCTTTGCTTGAATATTTATAACTTTCATTAGCACTTATACCCAAGTTTATTTTTCTTATTATTTTCTTTACACTCAAACTGGCTTTTTTCCCTCTTTTTAATTATGAGATGACTTATGAATGCTGGACTATAAAACCAACAGTTTTGAAACATTTCTTAGCATATTATAATGAGCTGAACTGGGTAGATACTAACAGAAAAAATATTAAAACTACGTAAGAAATTTTTCTTTGTGCAAAACAAGTTAGAATTTTGTGCACCAATTAACTAAAAGTTTTATGGCTTTCTAGAACTTCCATCTTGCTTTGGTAAAATAAGTATTAATGTTTAAGCCTTCTTTTTACTTTATTAGTTATAATCAGTACTGTTAAAATGGTGGCTTGTACTAAAACATTGAAGATATGGGCATAAAGCTTTATGATCCTGACTAGAAGACCCATTGACTCATAACTCAAGTTAAATTTGATTTACATCAGGCACTTAAAGTAGAAGTATATATATCTCTACCTAAGCAATGCAGGTAGCTATCTCTGGACACAGTTTCTAAGCACTTATGTCATCCTGTCAAAGAAAGCTGTATGCAAGCAGCATATTGACATGATGGCAGAAGTAAATCTTTGGAGAGGATCTGGTAGTACCTCATCTTCCATGTACTCATGTCTGTCATTTTAAAGACTCTCCATCCCCAACTCATTTTGGGTTGGAACAGCAATCTTGTTTAGTAAATGTTTGTTGAATGAATAAATGATGAACAGCATATGTTTGTCAGCTTTAATCCTCCTTGGGGTTATATTGTCAGATCCTCTAATTAATAGCTGGAAACAGAGCCCTTCTGAAGGCTTTACTTAAATGGTCTCCTGGGTTGAATCAGGGGAGGGGAGCCTGAGCTAGCTTCATGTCTCACTCCTCTGCTCCATCCAGCTCCCTTACTTTCCACCACCCATTGTCTCTCTTTTCCCTTAACCTGGGTATTGCAGAGAACTTTTCCAGCTGTGAATGAATTGCCTTAAAATCTTCCAGAAACAACTTTCCTTTGTGGTTTAGTTGCCAAAAAATTACATTGACTAGATTTGAAGAAATTATGGGAGACTATATAAAAACTCCAATTTGATTTTCTTTCTTTGGTTGGGTTCTTTTCTCATTCTTAAATGTCATAACTTATTTGTATTTTAATCTGTATGACATCTTGAGGTTTTTTTTAGAGTAAGTAAGGAACTTAATATATTTTTAGGAGCTCCAGCAAACAAAAAATATTGAGTGGAAGTGAAATAAAATAATGTTCAGTGAACAAGCAACCAAGATGAAAAGAGGTGAAATATCTTCAAACATGAGAGTACAAATATATAAACCAATCACTAAGATGTATTTCCAATTTTATTTGTAATCACCTTGGATTATTGAGCCATATTTTTGGACCTTGGAATCCCTCAACTTATTTTCTGTCTCCTGGTTTTTGCCTCTTGTTTGTTCTCTCTTCACTGCTTGGTCTTCTTGACAACTTCAGCTCCTAGCTCTGTCTGGATGCCCAGCTTTTCCTGTTTATCTGCTGTGCAACACTAAAAACTCTTCATGATAGGACGGTTATAGCTAATCATCTTTCTTCCTTTTTATCTTTATTTGTGACATTTTTTTTCAGATCATATTGAAACACCCAATTTCTTTCTTGCATAATTTTGTTCCATAATACTGATCTTCATTCCCTTCAACCCAAGTTTTTGTCCTTACTGTTATGTAAATATTTTTAATTGGAGAATGTGTAGATACAGATAAATGTGCACAGACATTTGAATTTGGCCATTCATCTTGGACTGGATATGTGAAATTGAACTGGTTGCAAATATAATAAATTTTGTTGTCATGTGAATCCTCTACGGGATTAAAAAATATATTCTTTAAATTTTCCATGTATCTCTTTATCATCATAGACTTATAAAGCAGATGTTGCCCAAGGGTTTTGTCACTTATTTTTTAGAGTATACAAAATTTATACTAACCTAATAACTAAGTCAGTCATACTGTTAATGGCACATTGTCGTAACGTCACCTAAATTTGTATCATCTCAAAATACCCTTATTTCCCAACTATTAAAAAACACAGATTCATAAGACTGAAACGATCTGTACTATGTTTTACCCTTTGCCTCCAAAGAGGTGACCATTTACATAATACTTATTTGTTAAACATCCAGAAGGATAGTGATGAAAAAAGCTGCTGGACTTCTCTTTTCCAGTGTTAGGTTAGCCCGAATCATTAAGGTTTTTGTCTTGTCCAAAAACATTCTCATATTAAAACATAAGACTATGGAACCTCTCCTTTGTATCCTTCAAATAATGCATCCACATCCTTCCCAAGTAATTTGCTATTTATTACTAAGTGAAATACTTCAAGCACTTTTGGAATCCAAGACAGGTATATGCAATGCTGATAGAAAGTTTATTGTCTGCGGTATAAAATAGGTTTTAGTAAGTTAGAAATAAGTGATGGTGATGATAGTGTTGCAAAATTGGGTCAATAAATACCGGGCTGTTGATGATACACGTGATTAATATATGTAGCTGAAGATTCCTGTAGGATTCAGCCAGGCCCGTTTAATGAGGCAAACTGTTGGGCTGAGGGAAATGGTAGATTATGAAATGTGACAAAATAGGATAGGAAAGCATTCATCTGATAATGGCCTTAGTTTTGGGAAGAGGAGAAAGATATTAGTGCAATCTGGGGAAAAAGGCATCTCTGAAATCAATGACACATTAGAAGGAAAATTTAAAATTCTCTGATAGAGAGAGAGGCTAGGGATGGAAGAGAATTAAGCTATTAAGTTGGGATAGGTACAAAAATGGCAGTTCTTAATACCAAATCTGTAAATAATAACTTAATATTAAATAATATCTAATATTTATTGAGTTCTATACATCCTGCATATTTATCAACTCATTTGATTCTTACAGCCCAGTGAAGTCCAACAAATGAAGATATAAGCCTTAGAGAGACATCATCATTTCACATAGCTGTTAAGTGGCACAGCCAGGTTATAAACTCAGGTCTGACCCCAAAGTCCATGCTCTTAACTATTAAACTATGCTCTGCTAAAGAAGTTAGTGTTGCACCTTTTGTCAGAATTCTTCTAGCAAGGTAGAGTGGTTTTTGCTGCTTTCCTTATGAGTTGGCTGATATGGTGGATTTTGCCAACCAGCTGACGTTGTAAATCATACCATTCAACTGATAGCTAATGCGTTTATGCTCAGCACTGGTTACCTGTGACGGGTACAATACATTGGTGTTGTTGCAAATAAATACTCTTGTAGATCACTCATCCTCAATGTACTTAATAAACAAACAACAGTTCGCCATCAGTGGGAATAAATTTTAATTTAAATATTTTCAAATATGAAGAACTGAAGAAACAAGGAGAATTCGTATTATATGTTTGAGTTTCACAATGATCGACATTACATTGAGGGATAAGGGTTTAATACCTTCTAATTTATTTTTCTTAATGGGATCTAGTATGACTTTCATTAGTCATTACAAGGCATATTTCCATGGCTTACAGTTCCATAAAAAGTATTCTCCTAATAGTTTTCATTCTTGCGCTTCCTTCCACCTGAATTTTTCCACCTAATATTTTTCAATCCTCTCTTCCAGGTCCCAGCACAACTATTTAAGAATCACCCGTATTCTTAAAAGCCTCGGTGAGCTTGGATATGAAAGCTTTAAATCTCCTCTTGTAAAATTCATTCTCCATGAAGCTCTTGTAGAAAATACTATTCCCAATATCAAACAGAGTGCTCTGGAGTATTTTGTTTATACAATTAGAGACAGAAGAGAAAGGAGAAAGCTCCTACGGTTTGCCCAGAAACATTACACGCCTGCAGAGAATTTTATCTGGGGACCGCCTAGGAAGGATGAGCTGGAGGGAAGCAAAGCCCAGAAAACGCCTGCCCCTCCTGCCTCCGGTCCTAACAGTCAAATTTCTACGCATAAAAAATCCAAGGACTCCAAAAATTCCTCCTTAGCTGTTCATGTAAATAGCAAATCAGCTGAAGAAAAGAAAGTGGCCCCTGGAGAGCCTGAAGTGACAGACAGGCCCAGCCCAGAGCCCAGCAGTGAAGCTGCCAGGCCAAGGATCACAGAGAAGGATGGCGATGCTGAAAATTTAAATTCTCAACCAGAAAAAACAATGAGCAGTCCCGCAGAGAAAAAGGAGAGTGCATCTCCTCCTGAAAGAGATGAAGAAGATGAAGGTCATAGTAAAGACTGTGAAAACCCTGGAAGTACAGATTCCCATGATGATGTACTATTACAGTGAATGATCAGAAACCCACAAACCAATTTAGGTAAGGGAGGAAAAAAACTGTACAGTTTATCCTAAAGAACAGAGGTCACATTTCAAATTTTAGCCGTTCGTGATTTCTGTTGTAAGCATTTTGTTGTTTTTAATTTGGGGTGACAATGAATTTAAGATGTTTTAAGACAAGACCCAATAAATGAATATATTCTGCAACACTTTTAGGATGTGTGTTTTCAAATTCTGTATACAGTGATTCTTTTACAAGCATTTCCATGTATCTGGAAATAATCAGGTGGTTCGTGATATATCAAATAAATTCTCTTGAGAGATTAGTCTACCTGAAGAAAACCAAGAGGATAATTTCATTATGTTGTCAGGCCTTTGCCCGATGGATGGATTAATTTTTTTAAGATGGAAGAAAGAATTTGGTCTTCTCAAACGTATTCAGAAAGTGATTTGGAATTTTTTTCACTACGACACCTCAGTATGTTTATTTAAAAATCTGATCAATGAAATGGATGCTCTTGGGGAGCTTCCATCTCCCCAGCCCATTCATCAGCCCTGCTGTCTTTTTCTCTTTCCCTCTCTCCACACTCACCCTCATTCACCAGTTTTGTCAGCCAGCACATCCATTTTCTAGTGTACATTCAGAGGAGCTCTTATATTGAAATTTAAATGGAACAGAAGGGGACTTCCAATTCATGATTTCAAAAATTTGCTTTGTTTAAAATAATAAAAATGTTTTCCCCTACCAAGTGCTTAAAACCAAGTTTTAATGCAGAAGTCCAACAAAAGAATTTTTTCTTCTATGGCTGTGCCATCTAAATTTGGTGCTTGTTTCTAAACGCAAATGACTAAAGCATTTAAAAATGAGAGAGGAAATTAGTTATTTACTCCTCTTGCACTGGCAACAAGGCAGTGGTGCCTAAAAGCATGAATAGCTCAGTGTTATGTGGACTATGAAATTAATAATACTGCTTAGTCCACAGTGCATCTTGTTTTGGAAAAGAAATATAATTTAATGCAGCTCTAAGTTGTCAAACATTGAAATTGAGAACAGATTTGAAATTCCATATACTCAGTTTTAGTAAGCACTTAATATGTTAATATTGTTTATGAGCAAATAATATTTACTGTAATATTATTACTAATTATTATTACACATCAGGAAACAATCATCAACACTGGTAAGAATTTCAAAGCATGTATACAAATATAGTTAAAGCAATGAATAGAAAACAAATTTCACTTTATTTTATTTAAAAAGCAATTGTTTTTTGTGTCTCTCAGGCTTTTACAGAAAGTTCTATCCACTTTAATCCCCAGAGAATTTATACCATACCCTATGTTTTAATCACATCATATCATCTGTTACATTTATTGATATATATATTTTTTGAGAAGATTTTAAATAGAGGATTTCTAGAAAATAAAGACACCAATAATATGCCTTTAGAAATATGATTTTATTGCTTTGAAGTTTACAAGAAATATCACCGTTGCTCAAACTTGACTTTTTTATATGAATGTTAGTAATGTTCATGTTGTCTATCATACTCCAATAAATAGAGAACATGTGCCATTTTGGGTTCCCAAAATATGCTAATTTTTGCTTTTTACTGTTTTGTGCTCACTAGGATTTTGAAACAATTCTGCTTTTGCATTTCAGTTTCATTTTGACATGGACCCTCTAATGTGTTGCCTATTGCAGCAATGTCCCCATAGTGCTCAATTAACCGTTTACAGAGATAGGGGAAGAGAATAGGTTGTCACATTGGGCTGAATTGTAGGAGTACGATTCATTTAATTCAAAGTATCTTATCAAGTTTGCATATATGATAAAGTGTTCAGACTATTTTCTAAGTGCATAAAGTTAAAAATTTGAGACAAGATGCTAACATATTAAACCGTGGACTGATACTAAAATAAATGAATATAATCAATTACTTAGAAACTAGTATATCAGCCTTTTGAAGGAAAAAAAAGCAATTTATTCAATAATTTTAGTTTTAGAATATTATTCCTAATTAGGGGCTTGATTAGATTGTCACATATAATTTGAGACTATTTTATCTCAAGGGAAAAAACTTCCTGGCTTCCGTTTAAAACAGTGGCCTTTTACCACCATGTTGTTTTTTTTAAATGCATATTGACACATAACAGTATGATCCCTACATTTAATCTAAGTAATTTATGATAGAATTATTCGGTGGAAAACAAGTGAGAGGATGTCACTTCTTTTGCAGATAAAAATTAGAGTGTCTAGAATTTTTTTTCTATTAAGAATACTTTGTACATTTAATAGTTTTTAAAATAAGATCTATAGATATGTATTTATGTATCTTAGATATGAAACAGCCCTCTGGGTTTGCTCAAGTGTTTTGTATCTTTAAAAACTACCATATGCTTACAGAAATTTATTGAGAAGCTGTTATTAAAATGCAGTGAAGCATGGCCAAATAGCTAGAAACATTATTGAATCTTTTAAATATATAGACTTTATTATGGTACCATGGACTGTGAGGGTACTAAATATTGGCTATTGATATAATACTCACTTGCATTTCATGGCAAATAGATATCGTACCTCTCAGTTAGGATAGTACATTTCTAATATTTTGTGCTTTCATATTTCTAAGGAGATAATATATGTGAAAATATTTTGAAATACTGTGATATATAATTATAAGATATACATGATTACGGTAAAGGTGTATAACATTAAGAATATTGTACCATTATACATTTTCATGCTCAATCTCATAAGAGACTCAAAAGAATCATGATAGAAGGAAAAATAATGTCTGCTTTCTCTAAATCAGGTCTAGTTCTCAGTTCAGAAATTATTTTGTATAGTTTTATTTGAAATTTAGTTTATGAGACTACTTTTTTTCAGCTTAAAGGAGAAAATAAAATCTACAACTCAGGAGCTTCTAGAGAAGTTCTCAGATTTTTTTGCTTAGTATTAAAAATATAAAATATGAAAATGCCATAGCACAATCACAGTCATTATGTTTGATACTTTGTTGTATACAATTACCAACTTTGCTTCTGGCATTTATATTTTAGTCTGAAAGTATGATTTGGTGAAAAAAGGAAAAACAGTACAGTGTTTCACCTGAGTTACTGTTTTAAAAATCATTTTAGTAAGTAAACTTTCATATCAAGTGGTTAAAAATGGGTTGAACTGATGAATCGAGAATATTTGGTTTACTGTTTACAGATACATTTCCCAGGTTAATAGTGGAGTTATGGTAGAGTTTATCACCTACTGAGTAACTAAATTAGACAGGTTTTTTTGTCATTTTACAATTGAGTTTCTTCCAAAAGCTTCCTGGCCTTACTTGATTTGCAGTTGCATCGGTGGGTCCTTCATGTCTATTTGGGGTGAGTGGAAATCTTTTGTTATAGGAATAGTTTTGAAGATTTCTATTTTGTTTCCAACTTAGAAAATCCCCCTTTCTCTTCTGGGGACGATGTGTTAAATAGAAGTTAGGCTGGAGTTAGACATGCTAGAATCATTTCAAATGTAGGTGCAGTTGTAGAGAATGAATGGCCTGGGTCAATGTATGATCTAGAAAGTTGGGAGTGTACATTTATTGACTTCTTTCAACTTGGAATTCTGTAGTGCTTATTACATGAACAGATTTGTGTGGGTAATCTCTAGGGTGACAGTGAGTACTGCCCTGCCTTCTTCTCTGTCCTCGTTATCCAGCCCACCCAGCAGACTGTTCAGGGACAGACTTTTTAGAAATCCCTTATTACTGAAGTTAATAATTATACAGTTAGAAATATGAATGCCTGGAGGTGTCCAGATGTGCCTTAACTAATGTAAATGGTCTTCATTCAGATGTTTAAATTTTTACTCCATGGTAAAATCTTGCCATATAAGAAACTTTCCAAACCATGAATACCAGTTATTTTAATGAAATTTACTTTGGTGCTTTTTCATTTTGGAGAATTTTCCATTTGGGACAGTAGCATCAGTTCTTGAGAAATTGTACTTGCCACAATGTTCAACAATGTTTTATATTTGACAAAAAGTGTTTACAGTAAGAAAGAGTACATTGTTACATTTATTTATTCTTTTGCTTAATTTTGCTACATGGTATAATTTCCACTTTAAACTTTTCTCAGTCATTACAAGTAATATTTATCTGTGTTTCACTTCTTATTTTTAGATGCAGATGGATGCAGAAAATGGAATTCTATTAGAGAAATTAAAAGTTTAATTCCAGTAGATGGTTGAGAATCTGAAATTAATTTTTAAAACATTTATGCCACCATCTTAGAAACATTTAAAAAACACTATTTCTGCTTTTTTCCCCTAGATTAGAGAAAATGTTCTTTGTCACCTTCTACTTGTTTCCTGATCTGTTGAGAAGCTTATTGTTTTAGTTATTTGTGGGGAAATAACTTCTTAATAAGTTTGTTTTCTTGAATTAAAATTTTCACATGGAGGCTACATTGAAGTGCTTTGTTTTATGGCCCAAACTATGCCTGGAAGCAGAAGTCAGAGCAGGCATCTCGGTGAAGTGGAGGTGACACGAGGCTGCAGCCTGTCCAATAGCATGGTGGGTATTCAGAACCTCCTCTGGATAATGAGGGTGTTGGACCCCATGATCTCTGACTGCTGAGGAAATTAGGCTGCCTTGGACTCCATACACAATTTTAATGGGCATCAATTTTCATAAACTATCTTCTAATTTTTGGCCACCATTTTGTAGCTGTAGGAAATTCTAAGCAATTGGACACCAGCTATATAAATTATAGCCGAATCTTTATACCTATCTTGGGAAACATATTGAAATACCAATTCCACCTCCCCTTCCCCTTTGTTTTTCAATTAAAATTTCTGTTGGGTTATTCTTTCATATATATATATATATATATATATATATATATATATATATATAAATGTCTTTTCATAAAAGGATTCTGTGTGCTTTAAAAATGAAGGGAAAGGGGAAAAGCTCACATGTGCTAAAAGACCTTTTTTTAAAAAAATTAGAAACCTTATGAAAATATATTTAAGTTACAAAGATTATCATATTTTTATTTTTAAATTAGAATGGAGTTAGTGGAACAGTTTACATTATTAGGTAGATTAATTACATAATAAGTTTTGGTTCTAAGAAACCTTCAAGTTCTGCACTCATCTGTCAAAAGAGCATTTTTTTTTTCAATGCTGATGGATTTAGTTTCATGTGAAGAAAAAGAAAACACAAACTGAAACTAAAGATTAGGAACAGTAATAAGCTCACTAGAACAATATATAATCAATTATAGGTTTGTGCAAGTGCCAGAATTATTGGAAGCTGCTAAGGAATGATCTACAAATGCTTTATGGTAGAGATGTGTTTTCAGAATTAGCTCTATATTATTTGTGCCAAGGAGAATCAGGGATTGGTGTGGACATGGAATCCCATTAATACTCTCATTTGAACCATGAATTCCACCTACTCCATAGTAGACCAAAACGTTTCAGTAGACAGAGAAGCAAATGACCAGATACCAAGTTTAATTCCTTTGCTGGTGTGTATCAATAGTTAGTGGTTTTACTAACAAAAATTAAATTGAGGGACTAGCTGCAGATAAGAAGAAAATTTAGTGATAAGTTATTTATAAATTAAGTAATTATCTCCCATACCATCAAGAATTGACAGCATCCTAATTGGGTGGCATTACCATTAATAGAAACAAATGATAGCAAACTGTTAGGTCCTTCGACAAGCATTTCCCCCCACCCTTTTTATAAAAAGGATGTTTACTTATTTCCTAAGTAAGACACTGACTCTTCTTCAGTGTTTCCTAAGAATATAGATGGCCAACTGGGTTTAGCCACTCTTTCAATTTGGAAACTGTAGTATCCTTTGTATTTTAAGTATTTCGAGAAAGTGAGTATGATTCTTAAAAAGAGGTGTGTTTTGCTACCCATGTAAACTCTGATTCTCCAATGGCCACTGAGCCTTCTGTTCTCTGTATTTTCCTGCAGTATGAATCACAGAATGCTGTGCATGTCTGTTAGTACCAATACCATGTGTATGTGGTAGGGGTTGTAACCAGTTTCTGGATCTGTATGGTACTATGAAACACTTCTTTTATAATTCTGTAACTGTATGGCAGTGTTATGCCAAAAATGTATAAAAAGCAATAGTTTCTGTTGCTTACTGCTGTATTTTAAAATATTGTTTCTGAACTAATACATTTAGAGTTCTTTTAGAGTAATTATTTTAATAATTATTGCCAAATATAAATTCTGTAAAACAAATAAAAGCCACTTTGTCTTAGTTAAGATTTTATCATTATGTTAAAGCACATTATGTTGATTTTGCATGATTAAAATATTTTTAAAGAGCTGGAAAAAATGACTTGCTGTTTTCCTATTTTTTGACATTTTTTATGTTTATCATATGAGATCAACATTATTTTCTTTATTAAAAGATTTTCATTAAAGTATAGCTAACATACAATATTATATTAGTTTTCAGGGTATACCATAGTTATTCAACATTTATATATCTAAAGAAGTGATCACCATTAATCCGGCAACCATGACACCATACCATACTCTCACAATATTATTGACTGTATCCCCTGTGCTGTATGTTACATCCCCATGACTTATTTGTTTTATACCTGGAAATTTGAACCTCTTATTTCTCTTCACCTTTTTTCTACCTTTTAAAAATTTTCAGTTATAGTTGATATTCAATATTATTTTATATTAATTTCAGATGTACAACATAGTGGTTAGACATTTATATAATTTAAGAAGTGATCCCCCTGACTAGTCTAGTACCCACCTAGCACTATACATAGTTATTACCATATTATTGACTATATTCCCTATGCTTCACTTCACGTCCCCATGACTATAGCTTTGGTCAGTAGAGTAATCTTGGTTGCAGGTCAGTGATTTTAATCCCTTTCAACATATCCTTCTAATACTTTCTGGCCTGCAAAGTTTCTATTTAGAAATCAGCTGATAGTCTTATGGGAGCTCCCTTGTAGGTAACTAACTGCTTTCTCTTGATGCTTTTAAGATTCTCTCTTTGTCTTTCACCTTTGATATTTTAATTATGATGTCTCTTGGTGTGGGCCTCTTTGGGTTCATCTTGTTTGGGACTTTCTGTGTTTCTTGGGCTTGTATGTCTATTTCCTTTGCCAGGTTAGGAAAGTTTTTCATGATTATTTCTTCAAATAATTCCTTGTTTTCTCTCTTCCCCTTGTGGTACCCCTATGATGCAAGTGTTGGTACCCTTGATGTTGACCCTTAAACTCTCCTCAATTTTTTTTTTGGATTATTATTATTTTTTTTTTTTGCTGCTCTATTTTGGTGTTTTGCCTACCTCTACTAAATCACTGACTTCATTCTCTGCTTCATCTAATCTATTGTTGATTCTCTCTAATGTATTCTTCATTTCAGTTATTGTATTCTTCATTTCTGACTGGTATTTTTATGTTTTCTATATCCATTTTTATGTTTCCTATCTCTTTGCCAGAGTTCTCCCTGAGATCATTGAGCATCCCTATAACCAGTGTTTGGATCTCTGCATCTGGTAGATTGCTTTTCTCCATTTTGTTTAGCTCTTTTTCTTGAGCTTTGTTCTTTCCTTTTATTTGAAACATGTTTTGTTGTCTCCCCATTTTGGCTGCCTCCCTGAGTTGGTTTCTATAATATTAGGTAGGGCTGCTATGCCTACCAGTCTTAGTAGAGTGGCCTTATGTAGTAGGTGTCCTGTTGGACCCAGTGGTGCAGTCTCCCTGGTCAGCAGAGCCGGGTGCTCCAGGTGTGTCCCATGTGTGGGTTATGTGCACTCTGTTGTTGTAGTAGAGACTTGATTGCCATTTGCACATCAATAGGAGGGATTGACCCTTAGGCTGATTAGGTATGAGGACTGGCTGTGACTACAGTAGAGGAACTATTATGCAGGGGCTGACCCTACAGAGCAGGTTTGCTTTAGCAGGGCTCTGGTGCCTGCCCAGTCTGCCCATTGGGTGTGTCATCCTTGAAGGTGGCCAGGTGATGCTCTGGCTGTCCAAAGCTGGCCACTTGGCCTGTCAACCCCAGGGCCTCTTGGGAGGGGACCTGCTGTAGGCTAAGTTTAGCCAGTCTGTGCTGCCTGGGGCCACTTGGCATGAGCCACAAAGCAATCCAGAGATGGCTGCAGCCTGTGCTGTGCTTGGAGGTACCTTGAGAGATCAAGCCACTAAGACCAGCTCTCACTAGTGCTGAGCTTAGGGCTGCTCACCAGATGCACGGGACATGCTGAAGCCAGATGCTGCTTGTTTGGGTTTTGTGAACCTTTGAGAGACTTTAGGACAGTCTGCAGCATTAGCCAGGGCAGGCCATTCATATGGAAAAACCACTGGGAGCAGTTTGCATATGCTTGAAAGTTGGGAGGAGCCTGGTCTCAGGAAATCACTAGAGTGAGGCAGACGAAAGGTGATTGCCCATTTGATGGAGACTCAGAGCATCTGTGGGCGGCTACACACCAGGAAGGGGGAGGGACTGAATGAAGAAACAATGGCCTCCACCAGCTTATCTGTCTGGAAGAAAGCTGTCCCTCCAGCCTTCACCCTGAGGCCAAACAACTCAGCTCCTCTGTATGTCCCTGGCACTTTTCAAGCTGCTACCCCAGCGCTGGAGCTCAGAGCAAGTAAGTCCATGTGTGGTCACCTTAAGATGATTTCCTGGGAATGCAGCCACCCTCCATCTTACTCACCCACAATCTCTGCTGGTTTTCACAGCCAGAAGTTATGGGGACCTTTTTCTGTGGCATTGGAACCCTGGGCTAGGGAGCTTGGTGTGGGGCTGACTGGGATGCCTCACTCCTCCAGGGGCAGGGAAGACTTCCAAAGCTGATATATCCCTCCTGATTATTAATGGTCACATGTGGGTGTGGGACCAGCCTGTTCTACATCTCTGCCCTCCTACCAGCCTCAAGGTGGCTTCTTCTGTATGTTCTTAGTTGTATGGCTTCGGTTCAGCTAGACTTCAGGCCATTCTCAATAATGGTTGTTCTGTGGTTTAGTTGTTATTGATGTGGTCCTGAGAGGAGGTGAGCACAGCATTTATCCACTCTACCACCTTGACTGGAAATCCCTCAACATTATTTCCTTTTATCCTTTAAAATAAACACTTTATTTTGAAAGGTAAAATCTTATTTA